GTTGTTTTTACTTCCATTTCTTTAAGGGATTTTCTCATATCTCTTTGAGGGCCTCTATCATTTTCATGAAACTGTTTTTAAGGTCATAGGTCATTCTCTTCTGATTCATCTGCATTGGGATAGTCAGGTCTTGGTGGTGTAGAGTCCCTAAACTCAGGTGGTGTCATATAAGTCTTTCTGTTGTTGGATGTGTTCTTATACTTTCATCTTCCCATTTCTTCTTCCATTGGGTATAGGTGGGGTCTCTCCGTCTTTTGGTGCATATGGGTTCTCTTGTCGCTCCCTGGCTCACTTGCTGGCTTACTCTGCACTCGCTCTACTGGAGGGTGGAAGGGGAAGGCAGTAATGGCGGCTGATGCTGGGTACTTTGGACTGCCTCCAGGTCCCTATGCAGGATTCGGTGGGAGGAAGGGTCTGGCAGCCTCCAGAAGTCAGGGGACTCTGAGAGGGAGAGATTGGGTGTAGGAGCCCCTGGCTCTCACCACTCTACAGGAAGGTGAGGGGGAAGGCCTATACATGTAATTTTGTCCCCAGGCAACAGCATTTATTAATTTAGGCAGTGTTTCCCAATAAAAATATAGAAATATTTAAATTTACGTCTTACACTGTACCAACACAAAGTCAAAATCCACAATTACAAACTCATAAAAAATCAGAACATCATCTTCAGAAGAAGCAGTTTCTATACAGGATTTACAGACCTATAACCACACACTGTGTCTTCAGTGTGCTACGGAGTTCAGAGGTTCTGCTCGGATGTTTCCAAAGTCCAGTGCAGAGTCTGTCTCTTCATCTATTTCGCCAATGACTGCTATGTCATCACCTCTCATGATGTATAATCCTAATACCACTTGTTTTACTCCTTGTGAAGAGCTGAATACCCTCTCATGGCTTTCATCCAAAATCAAATTAATGGCCCGGTCAAAACCTTTTAGAGTTCCCACAATCATTCTCCCATCAGAAGTGATAACAGCTACGGTTTAGTTGATGTAGTTCTCCAAGGCAGATGTCAGGCTGCTAAGCCCGGAGGTCCCAGGAAGAGGAGACACCCCATCAATAAGGAGATAAGACAGGGCCCACCAGAAACATGTAATTTTTAAATTATTACATTTTTCATCGTTTTGGTGACAGGTTTCTGGTGTAGCCTTGGAATTTGCCGTGTTTAGTAGGCTAGCCTTGGACTCAGACATCACCCTCCTTTGCCTCATGCATTCCAGGATTGAAGGTTCCCATGAACATGCCCTGATTTTTGTTTTTGTTTTGTTTTTGATATAAGGACATTTGTGTTTCAGGCTGACCCGGAAATCACAGTAAAATTGATGAAACCCTGAACCTTGATAATCCAACGCCCCCCCACCCCCAGTCTTCTCTTCCCATTCCTATTCTCTGCATCCCATCCCTAAGTACATCCACCTCTCTACTCATGCCACGTGCATCCCACTGTCCCTGTGTGGCCATCCTCAGCACCCACAGGTCTCGTGGGTCCTTTCTTCTCCTCCATCTGTTCTCCTGCTCACTCTGGTTTTGAAACAAATGGGTGAGAGGAGAAAGATGGAATCAGGTATAAGAGAAACTGACAGTGTTTGACTTTGTGGGCTTAGGTTACCTCACTCAGTATATTTACATTTCCAGTTACTTCCATTGCTGCAAATTTCATTCCAGTTTTCTTCCTTGCTGGGTGGAACTCACTGGGTTTATGTGCTGTATCTCCATCATGTGGACATCAGCTGATGGAGATGCAGGCTGAATCTTTTTTCTACCTACTGGGACTACAACAGCAATGACCATGAATGTATATATCTATATCTATATCTATCTATCTATCTATCTATATATATATATATATATATAGTCTTTGGGGATATTTTCAGTATAAGTCTAGAGAAGTATATCTTGGTGAGATGGTATTTCCAGTTTTCTCTTTCTGAGGCAGGCACACACTGGTTAGGTTGATAAGCTTAGCCTTTATGCTTACACCAATGATAAGTATTCACTTTTGCACAGACCCTCCAGGTGTACATGGAAAGTATTTGACCTGCTTTCCAATATCTTAGACCTGCAAATATACATTTGTAATGTTTTGTTATTTGAAAACCAAGGAATCTGCCGGGCAGTGGTGGTGCACACCTTTGATCCCAGCACTGGGAGGCAGAGGCATGTGGATCTCTGTGAGTTCAAGGCCAGCCTGGTCTACAAGCCATACAGAGAAAGCCAGTTTCCAAAAACCAAAAAAAAAAAAAAAGAAAGGAAGGAAGGAAAAAAAGAAAAAAGTAAAATATATGTTTATGATTGTGGATTTTCTACATATGAATGTAGATAACATGTGTTAATCATATATATCCAAGACCTGACTCTTTTATGTGTATTTTTCTATGTCTTTCTTTTATTACTAATCCACTGAGCTCAGTGACATTCAGATGTATGTGACCATCTTCCCCACCATGGGCAATCTACCAGTAGCAATACTATGAAGAAAAATGCCTCTCCATGCCCCTGTAGCCATCAGTTGTCATTACCTGTTTATCTAGGCTGGCCTTCTCTTTTGGATTTTTGAAGCAGTGTTTCTCTGTATGGTGTGGCTGTTCTATAATTAGCTGTGTTTCCTCAGTAGTTTTGAAGTCAGAGTTCTGCCACCTTCTGGCTCTAAGTACTGGGATTAAAATTGGACAACTGCTTCCTGCTAGGGGTGAACTTTTTTTTTTTTTTTTTGAGACAGGGTTTCACTGTGGCTTTGGAGGCTGTCCTGGCACTCGCTCTGCAAACCAGGCTGGTCTGGAACTCACAGAGATCCGCCTGCCTCTGCCTCTGCCTCCCAGTGCTGGGATTAAAGGCATGCGCCACCAACGCCCGGCTCAGGGGTGACCTTCTTAAGGATCAAGCACCTTCTTCCCAGATTTTTGACTGACGTGATCAAAGTGTCAAAATTTACAGATAAAATTCAACACTATAGGAACATCCACTACCCCAAGTGTCACTAAATGATGTGCCACATGGTCATAAACATAGCTATCATTGGAGTTAATAATGTCATAAATGGACCTCCTGGGAATCAACAGTTCACTGCTGAAAGACTGGTGATATATCATTTAAAATTTATTAAAGCTTGTTGGAGAATTCAGAAAACAAAGTCAGCAACCAGTTATAGAGATCAGGAAGTGGTGGCTCCCACCTTTAATCCCAGCACTCAGGTGAAAAAGGCAGATGGATCTCTGAGTTCAAGACCACCCAAGGCTACACTAGTTTAAATCAGTCTAAAAGAGCAACAGCGTTCACACCATTAATCCCAGCTCTAGAGAGGTGTAAAAGATAGGAGCAGCATTGTCTTGAGTTGTCAGTCTCAGGATTCTCCAGTCACATCAAGGAGAGCATAGCCGTCTGGGATTGCACTCTGAGTTTTGGTGGAGTGAGGATTGCCTTTCAGTCTGAAGTGTAGGCTAGAGCAGTGACTTTTCTGACCTTCAGCTTGAAGCTTGAACTCCAATATCTGTCTCTGGGTATTTTATTTTTCATGCTACAGAGAGCCATTATCACTTATTACAGAAGTAGCAATTAATATTCTAGGTATAAACCTACCAGAATCAAATTGTGATGGAGAAGACTTGCCTTGCAAAGTCTGCAAGAAATAGAGACTCCAGAATATTTGTTCTTATGAATTTTTCTTTATAATCTTGGTATATAGGGAGGTGGTGGCACACACCTTTAATCCAAGCACTCAGGAGGCAGAGGCAGGCGGATCTCTGTGAGTTCAAGGCCAGCCTGGTCTCCAGAGCAAGTGCCAGGATAGGCTCCAAAGCTACACAGAGAGACCCTGACTCGAAAAAATAAAAAAAAAAAAAACAACCCTCCCTCCCAAAAATAATCTTCATATATAGGATACATGCAGGGTGCTTTACATTCTCAAAACAGCCCCCAGAGAAAGGAAATTCCTTCTCACTGGGGTGTCAATGTTAAGAGCTGCAGCCTCTGGATCTCATGCAGCCCCCTACTTCATTTAACCCTCCCGCACCTCTTAAGTTTGCCCACTTGCTTTACAAGTGAGGAATGTGGCTATAGGCAGGAGTTTGTTTATATCACAGTTGAAGGTGTGTATGGTTCATAAAATGCAGAACTGTGAAGCTGCTAGTCACAGTGCACACAGTCAGGAAGAGAGTAATGTATAGTTGTGTTACGATAAATCTTTCTGCCAAAAGTCGCTGAGCCCCACTGCCATGTGTACGCTTTATGCCAGCCGCCCGCCCACCCAAGTCAGGCCCAAATAAATACACAGAAACTTGTGTTAGGTACAATGTTGCTTGGCCAATGACTAGGATTCTCATCTGTTAGATCAGTCTCAATTATTATACATCTATATGTTTTATAAGACTTATCTTATCGGACGCCTTATTGGCGTCCCTCCTAGCTGGTGGATCACATTGTGCCGCTGGAGCAGGAGCCGAGGGGAAAGGAGAAACTTCCTGTTTTCTCGCTTAGATATCAGACTCTTTGCTATGTCACTTCCTGTCTGGATAACCACTTCTCTACTACATTTCCCAGAATCCTCTTTGACTTCCAGTCCTGCCTAACTTGCTGTCTCATTGGCCAAGCAAGTACTTTATTTAACAATCAATAAGATAAACATACACTGTACATTCCCCATCATAGTTGTGTGTCTCAGCTCCCTATTTCCACTAATATAATCCCTATAGAACTAAAAAAAAAAAATGCTGCCTATCAAGTTGGTGTGTGTGTTGTTTTGAATGCATTCCAGCTCTATGGCTATCTGCTTCCCACAATGTAATCATTAACTAACCCTCTAAAAGTGTAACAAGCCCCAGTTAAATGCTTTCTTTTATGGGAGTTGCTTGGTCATGATGCTTCCTAAGGGCAGCTGAATGGGAACTGAGACAATGATCTTACTTGTATAATCAGTTTGAGGATTTTCAGAAACATATATACTAGATGATTCTGTATCCTGACAGTCTGTTAGTTACAATTAACCTTACTAATATATGTACTCCTAGGAGCCAGTGACCTTTGAGGATGTGGCTGTGGACTTCACCTCAGAAGAATGGGCTTTGTTGGATTCTAGTCAAAAGAAGCTCTACAGAGATGTGATGAAGGAGACATTTTTTAACCTGATCTCCATAGGTAAAAAAAAACAAACAAAAAACAACTCAACATGCTCCCATTGCTTATTCAGTCAGAAAACAGTTGTATCCTGCTTATGTGTGTAGTGTTGGTATTAGAAGTGAATAATTGGTGAATACAGTGTGAAAACCCATATCATAAGACCTAGGTTGTAATGCTGTGTTGACTATGACAATGTCATAATGTATTGTTTGGATTTTCTTCTAGAGAAAACACTAGAAAAAAATATTGAAGAGGACTACGAAGATCTCAGCAGAAATATGGGGTAATTTATATTCAGTAGAACAGAATTTATATCAAACATATGGAAATGTGGGACAACTGAGAACCTACCAATGGCTCCAAATATACCCTCGTGAAAAATGATTCTCCACAAGTTCCTGCAAAGGAGCATTGAATTGTCATTCAATATTTGAGCATGCGCTGTGTGTAGTCTATTAATATCACTAATGTGTCGTGTAACACTAAGCTCTGAAAGAGCTTTTATAGTGGTTTATTACACAAAACTCCTCTTCATATCCAAAAGAGTTTGCCATATGTCTGTGTATTATTTTGAGACTTTCAACGTAAGTGTTGTGGGGTTTTGCTTTCTTTTCCCAAAACAACAACAAAACAAAAAAGTGAGTCTGGGGTGGAGCTCATTTTACTTACACTTCCTTGTCTCAGTCCCATCATAAAGGGAAGCCAGGACAGGAACTCAAGCCTGTCAGGAATCTGGAGGCAGGAACTGAACCAGAGGTGATAGAGAAATGCTATTTCCTGGTGTGTTCCTCATCCCTTACTCAGATACCTGCCTTATTTAACAGTTGTCCACATCTGTAGGAGGACCCCACCCACAGTGGGCTGGGCCATTCCACCTCAGTCAGTGGTCAGGAAAATGCCCCTGAAAACATTCCTCAATTTCAATCTGATAAAGTCATTTTCTCCTTTCTAATTCCTTCTTCTCAGATGTGTGTCCTAGTTTGTGTCAAGTTTACTAAAACTATCCAACAGGAACCTCTCTGACACAACTCATGCCCTCCTAACCATGGCAACAACACACATCATAATTTAAGCCATCGTTCATCAATCAGGAATGTGAAGATGCTGCCACAGACTTGTTTGCAAGCCAACCTGAGTCATTTTCTCCTTTGAGGATCCCTGTTCTCTAACATCCCTCAATTGATCTAGTTGATAACTAAGTCACCAACACATGCTTAGTATGTAGAATGCCAGAGGCCACAGAGTTTCACCACCTTATGTGATTGTTACGATTGTCTACTATCACCAGGACTTTTGCCTTCTTGTTCGCTCCATTTATGCCTCTTAATTATTTTACCTGTTTGTGTATGTGTATATATTCTTGTGTACAGGGAAGGGATAAGACAGATCCTTGATCATCAGTATTTTCCTTGGCTACACTAATGCTTTTCTCATTCTTTGTAGAACTCCAGTGCTTGGTGAAGACTGTGGATATGAATGTGATACTGAGTGTGATAAAAAGCAGGAAGCTATTACAGAGAATATCAGCAGTAAAGATATGCCTCCTGGAGTTCATGACAGCCTGTAAGAAACACCATTGGCCATTCATCCTCACAGGACTGTCTCAGAGACCAAACTACACAGATATCATCTGTGTACACAGGAGCTATGGCAAAACCTTATAGACATCGGGGACATTGGAAAGATATCAGTCATTCTGAATCACATCAGGTATTTGAAATTTCTAAGGGGAAACCCTGGAAATTTCAACCATGTAATGACGTCTGTAGGAGTTTCTCTTCTGATCATCCTCAGGAGAGAAGTCACAATGGAGACAGACTCAATGAGAATGACTCTGTGAGAGACACACATGACCAGAATGATGAAGGAATCCATAAAGAAGTGAAACACTTTGTATGTAAGGTCTGTGGAGAATCCTTCATCAATTCCATTGACCTTCTCAACCATGAAAATATTCATATTCGACAGGAAAGGTACATTTGTTGGAAATGTGGCAAAACATATACATATGGAGAGTATTTTGAGAGTCATGAAGTAACTCACACAGAAGGGAAGCCTTACGCTTGTAAGCATTGTAGAAAAGTGTTTACCAGCTCCAGTATTCTGAATGTTCGTCAAAGGAAAGAAAAACGTTATACAAGTAAGCGTTATGGAAAAGCCTTCTTTGTTGGCTCTAGTAGTCATAAGAAACATGAAAGAAATCACAGTGGAGAGAAGCCATATGCTTGTAGGCATTGTGGAAAACACTTCCGTCACGCCAGTAGTTGTAACAAACATGAAAGAAAGCACACTGGAAAGAAGCCTTATGAATGTAGGCATTGTGGAAAAGCCTTCTTTGACCGCAGTAGTCAAAAAAGACATGAACAAGTTCACACTGGAGAGAAGCCTTATGCATGTAACCTTTGTGGAAAAGCTTTTACACGCTCCTGTACTCTGATCATTCATGGAAGAATACATGCTAGAGAAAAGTCATATGCATGAAAGCATTGCTTCAAAGCCTTCAGGGACTCCAGTAGTCGTAACACACATGAATGGAGATACACTAGAGAAGCTTTATGCTTGCAAGCATTGTGGCAAAGCTTTCAGGGACTTCTTTTGTAACAGACATGAAAGAAAGCACACTTGAGAGAAGCCTTATGCATTAAACATTGCAGAAAAACCTTCAACATTTCTACTTGTCCTGAATTGCATGAAAACAATCCCAATGGAGAGAAACCTTTTGTATATAAAATGTGGGAAACTGTTCATTTACTCTGGTGATCTTAAGAGGCACTGAAGAGTTCACTCAAAAGACAGGCCTTATGCATGGAAGCATTTGGAAAGCCTTTACCTGTTCTGCTAACCATAACACACATGAAACAGTTCACATTAGTCAGTAGGTTAATGCTTGTTAGCCTTGTGGGAAAGCCTTCACTAGTTCCACTTGGCACTAGAGCAATTTTTTTTTCTTTTTTTCTTTTCCGAGACAGGGTTTCTCTGTATTCCTTTGGTGGCTGTCCTGGAACTTGCTCTGTAGACCAGGCTGGCTTTGAACTCACAGAGATCCGCCTGCCTCTGCCTCCCAGGTGCTGGGATAAAAGGCGTGTGCCACCACCGCCCGGCTGGCACTAGAGTAATTAAAACATTCACAATGGAGAGAAACCCTTTTTAAACATTTGGGAAACTTTCTTTGTTCTTGTCATTTTATCAAACATAAAAGACCTCACACTGGGGCAGAGCCTTATCAGTTTCAGCATGGTGGGAAAGCCTTGACCACCTCCAGTTTCTCTACATTTCAAATATTTTGAAGAATATTTGAAATGTAGAATTTGCACTGACAAGAACCCCAATGTATGCATTTAATATTGTTCAAAATCCTTCACCAGTTGCTGCTGCCATGATGGTCTCAAGTATTCACCTTGGAGAGAATCCTTACATGTGGAACTATGTAGCAAATCCTTTAGCAGCTATAGTTCCTCTTACAATCATTTTTCCCTTCACTGGTGAAAGACTTTATCTTTAGAATAAATGTGGGAAAATATTTGAAATGTTTAGAATGAATAAAATTTAAACTGTTTGTCAATTTAAGCATTGTGTTTCCAAATTTCTTCGTTTCTCATTCTGCTTAAGCCGATAATTGTCTCACAGTGAAAAGTACAGTGTGTGGAATCTTACTAGTATTAACTGTGTGACAGTGCATTGGTTAAATGGCTGTCATTGTGAGGTATGAAAGATGAATGTGATTGGACAGCGAGATGCTTCGGCTAGCAATGGTTTATTGCCATAAAACATGACTATCTCATGTTTATCTTCCTGGATCTTACATCTTGACAATAGAGAACCTATTCCTGAAAGCAGTCTTCTGATAGTTGCGTGCATACTTCCACACCCACAGGAATACCAATGAGTAGAATATAGTATGTACACAAGAGTAGACTTAATGAACAAGTACAATATTTTAATGTTGAAAGAAATGTTGAGAAATCTGCAGTAGTATAATTTTAACTCTCAATATTTTATTATATAAAGGATGAAAATCCTTGCAGTATGTGCAATGATCCTTGTTTTTCTTCTATTTTTATTTATTTTTCGTAACTACAGCTAGGGTTGTAGCTTTGAAAATAACTGTAGTCATGGTCCACTTGGAAAAGGCCCCATAGGCTATTTGAAATTGCATTCTCATTGGTGGAATGGTTTGAGGATGATTAGCAGCTATGGCCTGTGATGAATATCTGTCACTCTAGGAAAATTTAAGATTTTTTTTTCGAGACAGGGTCTCTCTGTATAGCTTTGGAGCCTATCCTGGCACTCGCTCTAGAGACCAGGCTGGCCTCAAACTCACAGAGATCTGCCTGCCTCTGCCTCCCGAGTGCTGGGATTAAAGGCACTCGCCACCAACGCCCGGTGAAAATTTAAGATTTTAATAGACACTGACACTCCTATTGTATTCTCTCTGCCTCTTGATTATAGATTATCATGTGATCCCTATGTTGTTCCTGCCACTATGCCTTTACCCCACCATCACGGACTGTAACCCCTTATCTATCTCTGAGCCTAACGTAACACTTCCTTTAAAAAGATGCTTTAGTCCTTGTGTTTTGTAACAGCTATAGAGAGAAACTCTGATAACCACCTTGGGTATTTCAGAAGAATCATAGGCAGTAAGAGAAATTCCCATTGCAAAACTGTGAAAAGGCTGGTTGTCATTTTAAGAGATAATAGCTTTTCATGGGAGGAGTTTGTCACAGGGTTCTCTATGCAACAGTGCTCACTGTCTAGAACTAGCTCTATAGACTAGATTGGCCTCAAACTCAAAGAAATCTGCCTGCCTCTGTCTTCTGAATGCTGGAGTCAAAGGTGTGTGCCAGAGGCAGTCTGCTTTAGCACCACCCCATGAAAACCTATAATCTACAAATCCCACTCAGACCACCCCCTCACTTCCTCCCATGTTCTCAGTGGCCTCTGAGACACTGACTTGGACTGCACAGACTGGATGAAGAGGTAAGTGATCAGCCCCACAGCTGACCAGCCCAGTCTCCATGCCCTGGGGCAGAAACTTGGACCCTACCCCAACATGCCTCAGCCACACTAGCAGGGCAGTACCCAAGCCTCCTCCAGACAGACTTCTCCAGCAGCATCCAATCTGACCCAGTAATCTACAATTTCCAATCTGCCCCCAAATCCACACACCCTCTGTGAACTCAGAGACTCCCTGAGACATAGACTGTGACTGCACAGAGAAGACCAAGAGACAGCAACTTCAAAAATCATGAATAGAGTATGTCTGAGACACAGACACCTAATGCAAAGATTGAACCAAGAACCTGCACCAGTTAGAGGAATAGATGGATAGACACCAATGCAAGAATACTTTCAACAACCTAAAGATCAATATGGCAGCACTACAACCTAATTATCCTACAACAGAAAGACCTGAACATCTTAACCCAGATGAAGCAGAAGAAAATTACATTAAGTATAACTTCATGATGATAGAGACCCTCAAAGAAGAAATGAAAAATTCCCTTTAAAAGAGCAGGAAAAGACAAAATATTGGAAGAAATCAAATCTCTCAAAGAAAGCCTAGAAAACCAAGTGTGTGTGTGTGGGGGGGGGGGACAGGTGAAGCAAACATTTCAAAGAATTCATGACTTGAAAACTGAAACAGAGGCAATAAAAAAAAAACAGAAACCAAGAGAAGTCTGGAAATGGAAAATTTAAGTAAACAAACAGGAACTACAGATGCAAGCATAACCAAAAGAAGATGGAAAAGAGAATCTCAGGAGGTGAAGATACAATAGCAGAAATAGAATCATTGGTCAAAGAAAACGTTGAATCTAAAAAATTCATAACACAAGACAATAGGAAATCTGGAACACCGTGAGGAGATCAGGCCTAAGAATAATAAGAAGGAGAGGTACAGCTGAAAGGTGCAAAAATATATTCAACAAAATCATAGTAGAAAACTTTACAAACCTAAAGAACTATATGCCTATGAAGGAACAAGAACAACACCAAATAGAGTGGACCAAAAAAAAAAAAAGTCGACTGGACATATAATAATTAAACACTAAACATATGGAATAAAGAAAGAACATTAAGAGCTGCAAAGGAAAAATCCCAAGTAACATTTAATGGAAGAACTATCAGAATTACTCTCCACTTCCTAATGGAATCTCTGAAACCAAGAATGTCCTGGACACAAAGACACCAGACATAGATGGAGAAAATAATATATTCCATGACAAAACCACTTTTAACAATACGTATCTACGCTCCAAAGCTACACAGAGAAACCCTGTCTCAAAAAACCAAAACCAAACCAAACCAAACAAACAAACAAAAATGTATTCACAAATCAAGCCTTACAGAAAGTACTAGAAGGAAAACTCCAGTCTAAGGTAGTTAACTACACCCATGAATAACCTCACAATTGCAAACCCCAAAGGAAGGAAACACAGAAACTTTACCACTGAGAAATAACAGGAATTAGCAATTACTCATCATTTAATATCCCACAACACCAATGAACTCTATTTACCTATGAACAACTCAAGCTAGCAGAGGATGAAAAACAGGATCCTTCTG